TTTTTTTTTTTTTTTGTGTGTGTGAGAACACTCTCATGGGAAGGGGGTGGTCATCCCTACCTGTGAGGAATAGAGGGGTGGGGAGCACAACCTTGTAGCAGTCAGGTGAGGCTTCATCCCAGAGTTATGTTTGAGCTGAATCTTGAAAGGCGAGTTAGGAAGAGGCTTCTGGAAGTTGAAAGCAGGAGCAAATGCACAGGGCATGGCTTCAGCTGCTGTAGTCCAGCAACTGTATGTGTCCAGTGTGGGTAGGCATGAGGTGCAGGGGGAGTAAGGCAGAACCAGAGCAGTAAAAAGCAGCTCATGTGGCGCCTTGTGTGCCAAGAGGAGCAGCTGAGCAAGGTCATTTGGGAGCCAGTGAAAAGTTCTAGGCAGGGAAGTGACACTTTAGCGACATGGGGAAGTCCTTTTGAACTTATTCCAAATCCAGAAGTCATTGTTTTTTAATGTTTATTTTTTTTTGTTTTTGAGGGGGGGGAGGGGCAGAGAGACAGAGGGAGACAGAGAATCCCAAGCAGGCTCCACACTGTCAGCACAGAGTCTGATGCAAGGCTCTAACTCGCAAACTGTGACCTGAGCCAAAATCAAGAGTCGGACACTTAACTGGCTCAGCCACCCCGGTGCCCCCCAAATCCAGAAGTTATTAAAAAAAAAATTGATGAGTTCATTTATATGAAAAAATGTAAAGATTTCTCTATAGAGGGCAAAAATAAAAGACATAATAAAGTGAAAAGAGAAATAGCAAACTGGAAAGATATTTGCAGCTCACATATTAGATAGTAGGTTAATATTTTCAACATATAAACTCAAAGTGATAAGAAAAAGATAAGGAAGACAGGGTATCTGGGTGGCTTAGTCCATTAAGCATCCAACTTCAACTCAGGTCATGATCTCACGGTTCATGGGTTCAAGCCCTGCGTCAGGCTCTGTGCTGACAGCTCAGAGCCTGGAGCCTGCTTCAGATTCTGTGTCTCCCTCTCTGCCGCTTCCCTGCTCTCTCTCTCTCTCTCTCTCTCTCTCAAAAATAAATAAACATTAAAAAGAAAAAGATAAGGATGAAAATGCATTAGAAAATTCCAAATTAGAATTTGGACAGCTGTATGAGCTTGGACATTGCTTTATGTCTCAGTTTTCTGAACCTTACAATGGGACTGATAATGGTACTTGCCCTTGGAGTTCTTGTGAGGATAAAATTAATTTACTAGATGTAAAGGACTTGGAACAGATGTGTTTCATAGGAGGCAAGCAGTAAGTATCATTCAGATTCATGGTTGGAATAGTTTCATAGGCCTGGTGGGCATGTTACAGTGCTGGAGAGTGAATAGGATGTGAGACTGTTTAGACAGATTTGGCTTTTCATCTAACAACCTTGGTGGGAGGAAGGGAAATGAGGGTTATAGGGGAAAAAGTCAGTCACCAAACTGAGATCAGAGACCAGTTTGTGCCTCAAATCCAGTGTTTTTTCCACTAGACCACAGCTTTCTCTAGAAGTTGCCTCCACAGAGTTGAGGAGGATTACTTTTTGGCTTGTCATGGGAAGTTTGGCCTTATAAATAAATACATGGGGAAGTAGAGGATTGTCGTGCTACACCATAAGCTGTAAGTTAAGAGTAATTGAGTGGGGTGGTGTTGTATTGGTGGGTGGATGGATTTGCTGGTCATTGTTTGGGGGCCTTGCTAATAAGTAGAAGTCTAGGATATAGTAGACAAAATGCAGAACCCTAAGGTGTTAAAAAGATCACAAGAGACTCTTAAATATAGAGAACAAACTAAGGGTTTCTGGAGGGGAGGTGGATGGGGCAGTGGGCTAAATGGGCGAGGGGCATTAAGGAAGGCAGTTGTTGGGATGAGCACTGGAGGTTATATGTACGTGATGAATCACTAAATTCTACTCCTGAAACCAATACTACACTATATGTTGACTAACTTGGTTTTAAATAAAATTTAAAAATGTATATATATTATTAAAAAAAAGTCTTTGTGCTATGAAAGACGGTTTGCGGTTTTTCAAAAAGTTAAACATAGGGTTACTATATGACCTAGCAATTCCATTCCTAGGTATATACTCAAAATAATTGAAGACATTTGCTCAAACGAAAACTTGTACACGAATGTTCATGGCAGCATTATTCATAATAGCCAAAAAAGGGGAAACAACCCAAATGTCTATCAACAAAATAGGTGAATCGATAAATAAAATGTATATTCATACAATTAAATAGTGTTTAACCATAAAGTACTGAAGTCTGATACATGCTACCACATGGATGAACCTCAGACTTGAAAGTCTTGTACTATATAATTCTGTTGATGTGAAGTATTCAGAACAGGCCAAGGTATAGCGTTAGAAGGTAGATTAATGACTGCCAGGGCATGAGCCGAGGATGGGAAGGCAGAATGGAGAGTGACTACTTTTATTGCATGTAGGGTTTCATTTTTTTAAATCTTTGTTTATTTTTGAGAGAGAGAGAGAGAGAGAGAGAGAGAGAGAGAGCGCGCAAGCAGGGGAGAGGCAGAGAGAGAGGGAGACACAAAATGTGAAGTAGGCTCCAGGCTCTGAGCTGTCAGCACAGAGCCTGACACAGGACTTGAACTCACAGGTGAGATTATGACCTCAGCTGAAGTCTGATGCTCAACCGACTGAGCCACCCAGGTGCCCTGGGGTTTCTTTTTAGGGTAATGAAAATGTCCTGGAATTAGGTAGTGATGATCATTGCACTGCATTGTGAATGTACTAAAAATCACTGAATTATATATACACTTTAAGATGGTTAAATGATGAATTTTATCTCAACTAAAAAACAATTTAGTCTTCAGTGGTTCTTCTTTGTCTTACTGGCCCATAAAATCAGTTAAATTTTATGCTGAGACTAGTTTTCTAGGAAAAAAAGAATGGAAACTCTTTTCTCCATAGGAATTATTTCAGTACTTTTAAGGATATATTTTTATTCATGGATTTCTTTTCCAATGTTGGTTCTAGTCAGAGTTTCTTAACTAGAGGAATTCATTTATTCTGACTTGGGATTGTTTGGATTCTTTTCTTTGGATCATTTCAATAGTTTCTTCCTTTAAAAAAAAAAAAACACAAAACTGTCTGAGGGGCACCTGGGTGGCTCAGTCTGTTAAGCATCTGACTTAGGCTCAGGTCATGATCTTGCGGTTCATGAGTTCATGCCCCACCTCGGGCTCTGTACTGACAGCTCAGAGTCTGAGGCCTGCTTTGGATTCCATGTCTCCCTCTCTCTGCCCCTCCCCTGCTCACATTCTCTGTCTCTCTGTCTCTCTCTCTCTCAAAAATAAATAAACATTAAAAAAATTTAAAAATATGAGTTTAATCTTCTAACAATAAATTTTGAAACAAAAAACATTTATAACATTAGATTTTTATTTTCCAAAAAAGCATTGACCTCTTGAAAGCCACTGTGGATTTTAGATCTTTATTAGAAATTTATTTTTGCCTAGTGGAATATGAGGAATCCATAAAAATCTATTTTAAAAACAATGCAGTTTAAAAAAACTTTGTTCTCCCATCTCCTACACCAAGAACAGTTGTAGGGTGGCATGTATACTGGAATTTAACCACAACACTGTCCTTGGTTTATCCTGTAGAGTTACACGAAATACAATGATAGCCCTGGGCTCCCAGTAATTGCAGCCCTTCCCAGGACCAAACCCGACATGCGATCCCTTGTGGTGACCTCTTGGGTGTGCTGGTGGGGTCCTCCGGAGTTATCTAAGCATCTCTCTGTCTATCTTTGGTCTTTAAAGTCTCAGCCATCTCAGTCGGATAATCGTTTGATTTGAAATTTGGGGGCTGGAAACTCCATGAGTTTCCCTTAATAGCCAGCTTTGAAAGTTTGAGGTCAGCCATAATCTTTCATCTTCCTTTTAAACCTTCAGGAAAATAGTATGTAACTGATGAGCAACCTCCTTATAAAAGTCCCTTTATAAAAGTAAAAAAAAAAAAAAAAAAGAAATCCTTTCTTAGCTCTTATTTCCTCTCTAGTATCTTCCTCTAGCTATTTTTATTCACTGTTCTCTGAAAAGGATGACATTTGGTTGGACCATACTACTATACTACAGTTATGTTTTGTGTGTCCAAGAACTCTTGATTATTCTATGGATACAGTTTTTTTTTTTTTTTTTAATCAGATTTTTGGCAGTAAGCATTTATGGTAACTTTAAAAAGAAAAAAAAAAAAGCACCCAAGGATAAGGATTGTTCTTTGGCTTTGAGTTTTCCAGTTGGAAACTAGGTGCTGGGTAAAGAAAAAGCAGTATGTAATTCCTTGGGTAGAGCCTTTTCTATGAGATTAAGATGGATTATTTTGGAAAAGCATTGTTTTCACAGTCAGAAAGTGGCATGATGCCTTCAGAGATGAATTTCCATGAGGAAAACTGCTATAAACTTAAGAACCGGTGTTCTCCAAAATATGGCTTAGTAGGTAATCAGTAGACAAAACATAGTTTGTGGGGAGTTTTTCTTTCTGAATAAAGTCTTTTTAAAAAAATTTTTTTAATGTTTATTTTTAAGAGAAAGACCAAGTACGAGTGGGGGAGGGGCAGAGAGACAGGGAGACACAGAATCCAAAGAGGCTCCAGGCTGAGCTGTCAGCACAGAACCTGATGTGGGGCTTGAAATCACAGACCACGAGATCGTGATCTGAGCCAAAGTCAGACGCCTAACCAACTGAGCCACCCAGGCACCCCTTGAACAAAGTCTTTTTATTTATTTTTTTTATTTACAACAATTTGTTATTAATTTTTATTTTTGAGAGAGAGAGAGAGAGAGAGAGAGAGAGAGAGAGAATATAAGTGGGGGAACGGTAGAGAGAGAGAGGGAGACACAGTACCCAAAGCAGGCTCTAGGCTCTGAGCTATCAGCACAGAGCCTGACTTGAGGCTCAAACTCACAGACCATCATGACCTGAGCTGAAGTCAGATGCCTAACCGACTGAGCCACCCGGGCACCCCTTGAATAAAGTCTTTTTATTTGTTATTATTTTTTTATTTAAAACAATTTTTTTAATTTTTATTTTGGAGAGAGAGAGAGAGAGAACATGAGCAGGGGAAGGGTAGAGAGAGGGAGACAGAGAATCCGAAGCAGGCTCTGAGCTGTCAGTGCAGATCCTGATGTGGGGCTTGAACCCATAAACTGCGAAATCCCGACCAGAGTCGAAGCTGGATGCTCAACCAGCCGAGCCACCCAGGCACCCCTGAATAAAGTCTTTTTAGTTCATAGAATGAATGCAGATGTTTTTCGTTTGTTAACTACAATAATCGTATATTCAGATTCTGATTTGTGGTGTTTAAAGTAACTACAGTTGATACTGATGGATTTCATTTTGCAGCTTTTCAGTTTTAAGGGACTCCTTGTCAGTCTTCCTTTTCAGGTGAGAGTTATTGGAAGGGTAATAATATTTGGCTGACTCAATAAAATTTTCTCATTGAGTTTTAGTTATCATATAGGCAAGTTAATAGATTTTTCATATTGTAAAATAATTGTTCTCTTTTTATTTACTCTTGAAGAATGTACTGTACTTCTTTAATTATATTTCACTATTATATACTTACAAGTAATGATGTATCCCATGATATGTATCATTTGTTTCGATGTGAGTTTTTATTTTCCCTTCCACAGTCTTAAAAGGACTTTAATTTGGCTTCATACACTGAATTTTTCTCGTTCTGCAGCCTTTTCCTCTAGTCTCCTCTTCCCGGTGGTTGGTGAAAAGAGGTGAATTGACAGCCTACGTGGAAGACACGGTGCTCTTCTCAAGAAGGACATCTAAACAGCAAGTCTACTTCTTCCTCTTCAACGACGTACTCATTATCACCAAGAAGAAGAGGTAAACCCTTTTGTGAGGTTGCTGGCTGTACATCCAGCGTTAAGGCTCTGTAATTCAAATGCCTTTTAGGGGTGATTATCCTTTAAAAGCTTGTGAGGTTAGACGCATAATTTCTACATGTGGAACCATGAAGGAAACCATGTTTCATTGTCTTCAAATTACATCCACGGTTAAGAATCAAATCATTGTCAACATCATCATCCCAGCCAACCTCTGTTGAGCTTTTATAGTGTGCAAGCCACTGTTCTGAGCATTTGACACATTTGTGTCGCTGGATTCTCACCAAGTCCCTGGGGAGGTAGCACTCTTATTATTCCCCATCAGCTTTTTTCAAACTTCGTCTGCCATAAAACTGTTGTATAAAACAAACAGATCAAAGTAGCTCCAGTTCAGAACAAGCTGGGATGCAACTCTAGTGTTTGTAACTTAATTTAAAATCCACTGTTCTTAATGTTTGCTGGTCTAGAAAGTCTCCCTGTGACTGGGAAAATGACAACAATACACCAGTACTTCCTTCTGAAGGGACTAAAGTAAATCATTTGGCAGAATGTTCCTTCTTACTTTGGACTTTTGGTTGTATATTCATGTTCCGTTGTAGGAAGACATCCGGGAGGAATACTGTACAAACTTTTTTTTTTTTACACTATTTGTTCTAACTATCCCTACTCAAAACACACACACACACACACACACACACACACACACACACACACACACACACACACACACACACTCTCCCCTCGGCTCTGCCTTTAGCGAACATTCTTCATAAGTGTATTCAATGTATATAGGATTGTAAAGTATTTTTCTACTGGTCCTTCATAAATATTCTGTATTTTCTAGAATATGAACTTAGGGGAGAAACATACATCCGTGGTGTGTTTCCACATAGGAAGACCGGGATGGTGGGCTGAATTACTGCCATATAATAGGAGTATGGGCAGTACATGGGGTCCAGTTTAGACAAGATGAAGAAGAGAATCATGGTAGCAGACTTGTATGGATACATAAAATAAATGTACAGATGTATCATGAGATAGTTAAATTCTCCATCTGAGTTGCTGACAGTTTAGCTTGAAAATTCAAACTAAATCAAAACAGAGTTTGAGCTTTCCTTTTTGCTCCTTTTAATCAGACTGCATTATGGCTTATTTCACTTGCTTGGCTGTCTAGCTGAGCTGAAGACTATGAAAAGCCATCATATGACTATGATAATACATAAAGATGCCGATTAGTGTTTTTCATACTTAGGAAAATAGTGTTTCCGTAACTTCAAGAAGAAATGATTTCTCGTACCTGCGGAAGTGTAAATAGTTCTAATAGCTGAGTAGGTTTTTATAAATAAAAATTGGAGAGGGATTATAATTTCTTTTTTTGTGTTTTGTTGGTATCCTCTGAGATAGCATGTTTCTTCAGGCTTTCTTTGAGATGTGTTGTCTTTAGGGCAAGTAGTTCTGTGGGACTCTTCAAATGCCATTGCCCTGGACTTTTAACATCTTCCAGCTGTTGAAATATTTGTTCTGTCTCAATGGACCAAAAGCTTTAGCTAAACTTCTTATTTTAATGATAAAATATACATTGACAGTACGAAGCCAATTTTAAATATAAATGTACCTTTGATAATGATGTCTTCAGTGACTTGATGAAAACATTAAGGGTATTTAAACTAGTAGAATACAACTTTTACTCTCGAACTTGATGAGAACTACCCAATAAAGGCAGACATTTGACCTTCAGAATTAAGGTATATACCATTCTACTTAGCAGTGTGCTTTGTCCTCCACAGCAAATTCTGCCATTACTGCATAAGGAACCTTGCTTTCCTAGCTGTCTCACGTTTATTTGCTCGGGTATGTTCAAACTTGTCTTATTAGTAAATGAAACAACAAAATCTACAGCGCCAGGGAAGAGGCCAGCCTTGGTACCTAACTTTGCCTTTACCCAAACTGGGATTTCTTTTGCCCCTACCAGTTAGCTCATCATATTTCTAAGGTGCTCTTGACAAGGAGAATAGCATTGGAGGCTCAAGTTGTTTATGACTGAATACCTGGTGAGGGTGACAAGCAGACCACAGAGACTTGATAAACAGGCTTGGTTAAAAATGTACAGTATGTGCAGCCGTATTTACACTGTTGCTTCAATGAAGCAAGTGCAAATGCTTCACATGCCAGAGGCAGCAGCGAAGGAGATACAGCAGCTCTGAAGAAGGCAATAATTTCGGCTTGGCTACAAGGTTCAGATAAAGGATACTTACGTGTGCCAGCTCCATAGGACCCATGCAGCCACCCACTGCCTAATTGTAATGCCAGGGTTCAGCCAAGGGGCTTAGCTGCTGGGTCTCCAGTGGGTTTCAGCTTCAGGGAGGCTCCTGGCCACCGGGGGAGGGCAGTTACTCTTCCTCCTCTGACCCAGTCTGGCAGATGGTTTATGCTGAGCTTGTTCCACAGACTGCCTCTTGTGTGGCCTCCTCCGCTTCACGGTGCGTGTATTAGTGCTGGCGCTTGCAGAGCGCTTAGCGACCGTGGGGCTGTCTTCTAGGTCAGGGATTTTCACCTTTTCTAGCATATCAGAGGAGGTTTATGGGGCACCTGGGTGGCTTAGTGGGTTAAACGTCCGACTCTAGATTTCGGGTCAGGTCATGATCTCGCGGTTCATGGGTTTGAGTCCCGCATCCAGCTCTGCGCTGATAGCACGGAACCTGCTTGGGATTCTCTGTCTCCCTCTCTCTCTGCTCCTCCCATGCTTGTGCTTTGTCTCCTTCAAAAAATAAATAAACGTTGGGGTGCCTGGGTGGCTCAGTCGGTTAAGCGTCCGATTTCGGCTCAGGTCATGATCTCGCGGTCCGTGAGTTCAAGCCCCGCGTCACGCTCTGTGCTGACTGCTCAGAGCCTGGAGCCTGTTTCAGATTCTGTGTCTCCCTCTCTCTGACCCTCCCCTGTTCATGCTCTGTCTCTCTCTGTCTCAAAAATAAATAAACGTTAAAAAAATTAAAAAAAAATAAACGTTTAAAAACAAATAAAATATCAGAGGAAGTTTAAAGTCTCTGTTAGCCCTGGGATGTTTGTAGATCACTGTATTCATAGACTGTCCTACCAGATCTCTGCAGGATACGTGACCAGATAGACTCTTCTGGATGAGAAAGTGAATTCTTCGGTGGTTGAAGCTTTGACTGCGGGGTATGTGGGTACTTCTAGAGCAGAGTTCTCAAGTCGGTACTGTTGAGGCCACACAGTTCTTTGTCACAAGGGCTGCCCTGTGCTTTCTAGGTTGTTTTAGCAGCATCCCTGGCCTCTCCTTGCTAGCAGCACCTCCTTCTCAGTGGTGACAACCAAAAAGGTCTCCAGACATCGTCGTGTGTCCCTGGGGCGCCAAATTGCCCCCAGCGGGGAACCACTGTACCACAGTCACAGCAGACTGTGAACCAGCACTGCCTTCAGAGTACTGAAGGTGTGCAAACCTATCAGACCTGACACAGCCGTGACAGGAATATTGTAAGAAAGGAATAGATTGCCAGGTTAATGAATAATAACTCATTTGTGCCTCATAACTTATTTATGATGATCGATTACAGTGTGTAGGCTAGACTATACCCATGAACAACCTTAGAGACCAAGTAACTATAGTCTGGTCTCCAGAAATGTAAAAACTGAACCTAAGACCTAAACACTTCACATTCTTCAAAGCCTTATTTTTTTTAATGTTTATTTTTTGAGAGAGAGAGACAGAGACAGAGTGTGAATAGGGGAGGCGCAGAGAGAGAGGGAGACACAGAATCGGAAGCAGGCTCCAGGCTCTGAACTGTCAGCACGGAGCCTGCTGCGGGGCTCGAATCTACAGACTGCGAGATCATGATGTGAGCCGAAGTCAGACGCTCAATTGTCTGAGCCACCCAGGCTCCCCAGCTAAAGCCTTATTTTGTAAGGTAGTTAACCACCTTATTCTCGTTCAGTGCCTTATATCTGGCTTCAGTCTCCCCTCCCAATTTCTTCTGAGACAAAATGCAGATCCCCCTGTGTTCGTTTTCATCGGCTGCGGTAGCAAAGAGTGACAAACAGGATGGCTCAAGACCATGGGAATGGATCGTGTCACAATTCTGGAGGCAGAGGTTCGAAATAAAAATGCTCGCAGGGCCATGTTCCCTCTGAAGTCTCTGCAAGGAATCCTGCCTCACCTCTTGCAGCTTCTGGTGGCCCCTGGGCTTCCTTGGCTTACAGTAGCGCAACTTGAGTCTCTGCCTCTGTCTTCACACGGCCTTCTCTCTGTGTCCCAGTGTATCTCAAAATCCCTCTGTCCTTATAAGGACGCCAGTTACTGGATTTAGGGCCTACTCTGCTCCAGGATGATCTCACCCTAACTTGATTACATCTGCAAAGACCTTACTTCTAAATAAGGTCCCATGTACAGGTCTCAGGGGCTAGACTTTTCGAGGACACAGTTCAGCTCTCTACATTGCCCAGACCATCACCACTGTTGAATTATGATTATAATCAGATAAAAAAAAATAAATGTGCTATAAGCCAGTTCTAGAACACACCTTTTTTTTTTTTTTTTT